CGGGCGGCCCGCCAGGTAAGTTCGACGTTCCGGTCAAAACTCCGGCCCCTGTCACCGCTCGGCCCGGTGCCGCAGGGGGCAGCGGGCTGGCAGCGCCGGGGCCGCGGCTCCGAGCGCCCTTTGCGGACTGTGGCGCTTCAGGTGGAAGAATCCGTTCCCTCTTGCAGCCGGCACGGCGACGGACCAAAGACGGGCTCACGGCGCTCAGGACAGCGGGCCTTCCTTACACCGGCGGGGGGCTTCGGCGGGCTTTGCTCCCATGGAGCTAAAAAGCCCAGCCTCTTGCTAGTCGCAGTTGGTGCCGTAAATATGGTTCGGGGCATCGCTGCGTCTGTATTTACAGAGAGATGCTTCCCTCCGCGCTGGTCTTGACCCATTTTTTAAACCAATGAAAAGGAATTTAGTGTGTTTCTTTCATGTTTCTGTCATTGTTTCTGAAGACTGCTTACCGTTTGTTAGAATTTAGCAGGGAAAATGTAAAACTGCTGACGCGAACTGTGTACGGAAAGCCTCTGCAAAGCAGACTTTCTCTGGCCTGTTTCCAATCTGCAGCACACCAAGAACTTTATTAGACGATTCTTGTCAAAAGCAAGATGTTAGGCTCAGTAACTCTGAGGCGTTCAACTAAATGCCGTTAAACAATAATAAAATTAAAATTACTAATTGGGCTGGAACAAGTTATAAGAAGATGGGTTTAATGCTGCCTGGGATGCTTCCAAAGGGAATATATAGTTTGGTAAACGATGGTGATGAGAATATTTACGTCCCACGCATTAGATTCTCTCCTGTTACGCCGTATCTCCGTCAACATAATCCTCAATAATCGGGGTCCATGTTGAAACCACATCTTCCATTTGTTACATATTTTGCTGCAGCTTAAGCTGCAGCCAAATAACATTCTTTTGCTTCTTTCACCAAGACTTTCCTTTTTTAAGTTAGCCTCTTAATTCTAGGCATTTACAATGCATTTAGCAGGCTACAGAAATCTAGAAATAGGTTTGTCCCAATTCACAGTTACATTAACATCCTGCTACATTTATACTACTGCAGGGGTGTAAGTGACCTTGAAATAACTAAAAATTGGACCAGACTGCTCACTTGCAGGCCAGATCCGGCGATGTCCTGGCACAAACAGAGCCCATCTAATAGACTGCATACATTTAAAGAGCTTCAGACAAGTTTATTTGTACATATTCTCACTCATTAGCTAGAGGAACCCTTGGCCTTCTCTATGGACTTGTAGAGTAGTGAGACGTGAGCAGGATGACTACAGATGTGGAAGTGGAGGGTTAACAGGATGCATGCTTCTGGGGGGGGACCCTTTCTGTAGAGCCAGGCTTGAGGAAAGGGGCAGATACTGGTCTTTGGGTGTGTCAAAAAAATACGGCAGTTCTCCACCCATCCCTCCTCACAGAAACAGTGTGAGGGAAATTCTGTTTACTTGAGTCAGATTATAGCAGTTTAAAGGAAGGTCATGATTTGGGCCTAAACAATTTTGGCTTACTGCCAGCAACTCATTTTCAAAACTATAAATAGGAATGATTTCAGAGTACTCTGAAAAATAAAAATCAATGGACAGAAGCAGCCAGCTGAATTGTATTTCAAAATATTTTCAGAATGTCCTTAAATGAGGCAGTGAGATATTATGTAGCACAAGGAATGCCTCTCATAAATACTTACCTAGTTTATTTTTAATGAGGATTGACTACATTTAATTGGGGTTTGAAAGTTTTCATTTTAGAAAACCTAGGTCTCACCCCTGGCTAGAAGAGGTGTTAAGTGACCTAATAATCGTTTCCATTTATAGATGCTGCCGCCTGCCGTGATGTTCCGTATGATTTGTGCCATTCCCCAAGGACAAAGCGGAGAGATCCTTGGTTTGGACAGTTCCTGCTGTGGCTCCTCCACCAGCCCTCCTCCCAGCTGCCCGCACCAGAAACACAGCTAGGCCTTAACCCATGGCAGTTCCTAGCAGCTGACAGGGCCACCAAAGCTCTTAGTTACTGCTATAATATAAAGCAAATATTCTTTGAGCTCCTTTAATCTGTCCACAAGACTGATCCAGTGCTTATCAGCCTCAGTATTAGCAAGGGGCAGAACTGGTAATTATTGTCATGTCGTAGGTGTTGCTTGTGGACGGTTTCCCAGGCAGTCTTGCCAAATGTCATTTTCCTCCAGTAGCAGCCCTGGGTGTTCAGCTCTTCTGCATATGAAATGTATGATGAAGAGCGACCTGACTTTCACTGAAAAAATAATGTAGAAAATGCCACCTTAATTGGTTGTTTGCACCATGGAAGAGGCATTTCTTGGAGCAGCTGCCTGTTAGAACCTTCCTACAGACTGTGTTGTTGCATCATAAGTACACCTGGCCTGGCTGGGTTCAAGATCACCCACGGTCTGTGTTTACCATGGTTATTATTTGACCATAAACACATAGTCTTACTCTAAAAAGCAGCCTTGAAGGCAGATTCTCTTGGGTCTGGTAATTTGAGTAGAATAGATCAGCTAGATACATGCTGTAAAGGTCGGGTAGATGTATCTGTGTGGTTTAGGAGCAAACTTTTACTTGGTGATGTTTGGGGTGGGTATTATTTCCTTCATAAGTCTTTGGCACATCTCTCTGAAGGAGAATGTGTGCGTACCCATTTATTTCATGGCTGCTGAGTCCAAAGGTGACCTGCAGGACTTGGGCAGCTCTGTGAATTGGTGTAAAGACTTAGAAGACGTGAAACTCGGGTGGCCACGCTTGGCCTTAAAAAGCTTTCACTGACAGAGTCTGAATGAAATAACTCTCTGGGGTTCAAAACAGCAGGCATTGTCAGATACAAGGGATTAAAAGGCTTTTTAATGTGGCTTAGTAGTGTACAGAAGATTGGCTTACTTGTATGAGCTCTTCTTTCTTCACATTGATCTTTATTTTGCATTGTGCTTAGTACAACAGAAACTGGAGGCTGAAGCCTTCTTTCCTGAATCATCTCACAGGACTTGGCCCTTTTATTGCTTAGTAAAATCTTTTTTTTTTTTTTTTGTGAAGGAGGAATCGATTTTTGTCAGTGTAGCCAGTGTTGAGTAATAGCTGAAGAATACCAAGTTGTAATAATTTTATGAACACTGTATGTGGCCAGGTTGGTGAGAGGAAGTTACTATACAATGGGTTATACTACTTTATATTACTTTCCTGTATAGATGTATTGATCTAACTTAATAGGGAGCTAGCTGATGAAGGAATAAAAGGCAATTCAGTGGTTCCCCTGTGTCAGCTATATGTGGCTAAATCCATGAGGTGGTAATTACAAGAACGATAGCTCCAATTCTGAGGGATGCAGCTGGTTTGTCAGGCTGAGAACTAAAAATCAGAGGATGATAAAGTTGGCAGAGACTGATGGAAGAAATAATTTAACACAGAGGCAGACTTTGCAGAAGAGGCTGGAAAAAGCTGGGCCTTCCTTTTTGCAGGAATGGAATGGTAAGTCATACGGAAGGAAAGGCAAGTGTGTTGACTGTTTTATTGTTTTTAAGATCTATTTTGTCTTAAGTGGTTTGGTGCTAAGTAAGTGTTTTGTGGTCAGTACTTAGAGCCATTACTTCACAAGAGACTAAAACTGTAAGGTCTGGGTCTGTCTCGGGTCTGCAGAGGTAATCATGGTTGATACACTGGGGATGCAACCTGAGAACTGGTCTGTGTGTAGCAAAAAAAGACAGCTAGAGATGGGGAGGAACAGTTAACTGGTCACTTGCAACAGCAAAATGTAAGCACAGTCACAAGTTTTGTTTTTTCTTTGAAAATTATTTTGTCTATTAATAAGTAGCTTTTAGAATAATAGGTGGGCTTTCACAGACAGGCTTAACCTTGGTGTTTTGATGTAGGGGTTTTTGTTGTTTTGGGTTTGGTTTTTTTTAATATGGCATAGTCAGAAACACAGTATCAAAGGTAAGAAAAAATTTATTACGCAGATACCAGCAATGTAAATATCTCAGTTATGTCTAAAATACCAGTCAGCTCCTGTTGCTCAACTGAAAGATAATACAGAAAAGTGGTTTTTATTTTGTTGTCCTTTTATTCACCATTTATTGTACTGTTGTTTTCACCACTTACCATATATAATTGATTGGTTGTCCCCTGCTGTTACCATGGATATTTAATACATTGACATGGAAAAGAGACACGTTTTTATGAAAAGGAAAACACAGCTATAAAACTCCTCTTGCATGGAATGGAAGACTGTGCCATATTTTATGTTGATGCAGCCAGTAATGGCTTCCTGCTCCATGTTCTTATCTACCATCTACACATGTGGATATCCATCCTACACCTCATGTTTTATGAGGCAAGTGCCTAGGAGAGCATTAGGTGCAATGTAGCTCCTTGTGGCCATTCTCCCTCCCTGGAGCAGGCAAGGAGGGCCAGGTTTGTAGGTCAGTTGGCTTGAAACTCAGAAGCACTTAATGGAAGAGTGGTAAATGCTATTGATTAGAATGGTCCAGCATAAACAGGAATCCAAGACCCTCCCTTGAGACTCTTAGGTCTCGGGGCGGGGGGGGGGTGAGATCAAAAGAGAGCACAGTATTTTGAACAAAATGTGCAAGGGCCCACCCTTCCTGAATTGCACTTTTGGTAATATGTTCTGTTGTGCAGCTGTAATACTTTACAGAAGGGTTTGGGTTCCCCCCCCCCCCGTCCC